TTTTTACCAAATGCATACAATAAGACCAAAAAAGAAATGCCAACCATTCAGATCACAACTATTATTAAAAACAAAACTAAATTATCTGTTAGCCCCTTTGATAATAGGCTCTTGCAAAATGATTAGCAGCATCAACTGGACAGACGTCTGTTAGCCTCCCACGAAGGCTAGCTTTTGTCAACCATTACTTGCAAATAAACTTGAAATCACCACTGCAATTGTAATAAATATCTACTTGTCCCCGCCTCCGAACATCCCCATCATGTCTATACCAGAACCCATTTGCTTCATCGAACTTTGTAGTCTACCCATGCCACCAATCTGCTTCAGCATCTGGGGAGAAAGGACGTTGCTCATATGCTGTGCATTCATATTTCAGGATAGTGCACTCATTTCACCCTTCTTCGGAATCTTAAGCCCTTTCATTTTGCTCCATATCTTGGCAAGGCGCTTATACTCTTCAAACATCTCCATTACTTCTCTAATTTCAAGACCAGAACCTCGTGCTATTTGAATTATAAGTGACTCATTCATGAGTTTTGGATTTGAGCTATCCAACTCTGCAAGACAAGTTAAGCTATTCACTAAACCATGTGAGTTTCTTCCCCACCCTCCAAAGGAACTAAACATGACAGTTATTGCTCAAACTATGTGGCTTAATGCACAAAAACAAAAGGAATGGCCATTACTTGCCTTCTTTTGTAATTGAACCATCATGGTCATGTACCGCTCATTCTTTGCCTGGCTTTCCTTTTCACGACCTTTAGGATTCAGCACTAAATCCTGGAAGCATTGAGAAGACCTACATAAACCGAATAAATTCTTAGCCTGCAGTTGGGTCCTGTCAACAATAACATCCATGATTATGTACCCTAAAGCTTCTGAATGTGCGTAGTCTGTGTGTGTGTGTGCGCGTGTGTGTGAGAGAGAAAGAGAGAGAGTAAACAAGAGGACACAGAGTTCATACATAAAAGTTACTTGTCAATTGCTTTATAAGGCTAAAAACCAAACAGATAATCATGAATATGATTCTGGCCTCCCCAAAGTTTCATTAATTTTGAGACTTAGTTTAATACTTCACTACATTCTTTTCTTTAGTTGATTGTTGTGTTAGTTAATGAATTTTACTCAGAGCACAAACTACTCATAACGTTAATAATATGGTTTCCTAAAATCCATTTACGACATTTGGGGGAGGGAAATTCGAAGACCTCTTTTATAAAGGAGAGCTGTAGCTACTGAGTCAGAGTAATAAGCAGCATTTGAAAAATCTGAAACACCCGACTTGATTTAGAGAAAAGTTTGGGCAGTTCTCATTCTAGATAAAGTACAATAAAAGAGAATGATAACCTGGCTAACTGGACCCATTTTAAGTATGTTCTGAAAGAGTTCATACATAATCCTTAATGTAAAGTTCCCTTCTGACAGCGTTTGCAAGAGTTCTGACTGTTGGTCCATAGGAACAACTTCATGGATCTTGTCCATAAATCCAGACCAGTTGCCCATGCCTAGAAGTAAAAGCCATTGTTACTTAAACAATTTAGAACAGTCATTGCTAAGTACATCCAAAAAAGTCAAGACTGAAAAAGCGAGTGACCTAAGAGACAGCTTGACAAACGGTTTAACATAAAAAAACTTCAAACTTGTCCATGTGCTCTCCTGTTCCAATAAAGATAACAGGACCCTTTGTTGCTGCAACATTGCACACATATAGTAAAAGAAAATCTAGTTGTCAAAACCTTTGCATGCCAGTACCAAAAACCAATGCCTTACCACTTAGCTATATCCTCCATACGGCCTGTTTTGGATGATAGAACAAGGAGAGGGGGGAAGAGGCAGGGTTCTAAGAACGAGCCGAGCCATGCAAGGACACAGAGATATATCAAGTAAGCAGCAAGGTTCTCCTTTTAGGACCGACTATAACAAGCTCACGACTCTAATAGAAACAAACAGTAAGCTCTCTGCTCTATTTTCTTGCAACAGAAACCAAAGAGATACTTTCCTTCACTGTAGCTATTCTTTGCTATTGATCACTAGACTAATGTTTGAAGTTAAAGTTGATAGAAATTTTGGAATAGCATTACAAAACTGAGAAGGCACATTAGCAGAAAAAATGCATATACTGAGATACATAACATGGAAGATTTCAGATGTGACCTGAAGTTATACATGAGTTTTAATTGTCACCTCAGAAAAAAGAAAAGATTACAAACACCACTTTGATTTTGAATATTCCAAATGTGTCACCTGACACTAAGTACTAACTCTGTCAAAAATTATTTTAAAAAGCATTTCTCCAAGCGCCCCAGCATTTTTGCTATCAAAGGAGTGCTTTGCTTCGCTTCTCTTCCTAGCTGTTGACTACTTAGGGACCCAGCAGCAATTTCCTAGTGTCATCTACCATTTCTTTTCCTTCCCGTTAAAATCTAACTTATGCAGAAAATTTCCAGCTGCCTTAAGAGCACATATTCAACAGCCCCACAAAGGACAAAGCCCAACAAAATCAATATTTATTATACAATGACATTCCTGAACCTTTTTACTTCAAACCCCATCCTCAGAAAAACATTGAGAAACTTAAACATTGAGCTGATTATTAGGGGACTACCCACTGATTGGTACATATGGTAGGCGTTGTGCAAGGCAAGCTTGTTACTACCGAAAGTGTTAAGCAGTGAAAACTTCGGGTGAGCAAGGAATGTACACAGGGTAAATATATAATTTGGAAGTTCCAGGTTGGAACATAATATGGATGTAATGTGGTTTGGCTTACCCACATGATGCAATGAGAGGTTTTGAAGATTTGAGCCAGATTTTTAAGTCTTCGTTATATTTCATTTCTGCAAACTATTTCAAAAATTTATAACTACAGCAAATTTTTCCCATGAATTCCACATGTTGAAAATTAGTCTAAGAATAAAAGCCAAATACTAAGTTTCCAAGGTTAAGCTTAATGGACCATCTTCTTATGAGCTATATCAATGCCTAGATCCAACTAAAAATTATTAACATTTCAACAGTTGCAGCAAAACACTTACGCACTGAGAGCACCACCTCCCTTTGCACGACCGTCCATTTCTGCAACTATAACAGCTCCAACTGAAACACTGCCTGAAGGCTTGAGCTTCATCAAATGCAGCCTGACCAATACTGCTATCCATAACAAATATAAAAAGATCAGTTTCTGGAATATGAGAGGAAGTATATTAAGAGAAAGATATTATCAAGCAAATGCAATCATCAGAAAGTTTACGTAGCATGAAATTCCAGAACAAATACCGTTGCTTCAGAAACTTGACGCATTTCTTCAAAAAGAGCAGCTTCTTGTTTGTGACGCCCACTAGTATCAACAATTATAAGATCGCAATTCTCCTTTGAGAATGTTTCCACACCTTCAACTGCAATTTTCACTGGGTCCAACTCCATACAGCTGCAGGGGCAACATACCAATAATCACTTGAATGCTAAAAGCATCGAATTCTTAGAAGAAAAATATATAAGGTAGTGCAGATATAAAGAGGGATAGGCAGGACACCAAGGATGGCTGCCTTTTAATGTCCACCATGTTTTTCCTCACTCTTCCCGACCAGAAACCCTGGTTCTAACTCAAAAAATCATACTGTGATCCATACCGGTGGAGTATGAGATGAGACCAAACCACTGTGTTACTAATCCAACTACAACATTCCTCTTTCTTTCACTTCCCCTATTAAAAAATAACTAATATCTAGAATTGAGATGTTTACTTAAAGAAAAGAAAAATTCAACATTCTCAAACTTCACAACTCTATAAGGATTGTAATTGTCCAAAAGAAAGACACATAACCAGTAGAAAGAAAAAAGAGTACCTTCCATAAAATGGAATCTTAGCCAAATGGTCCTTAAGGTTTGTGAAATTATCACCTTTCATCCCTAAGGTTTTTTGTGACACTAATGGTTCTTAAGATTACCCTCCACAAATCAAAATGGTCATTGCCACTAGTTTCCGTCAAATTTTCTGTTAATTTGATGACATGGCACATATATGGAGCCCACACACCCTGGCTGTTTTTTACCTGCAGGATTTTCAAACAGATGCAGTCACACAAGTTATAAGCAGACATACATTGAACATCACTCAGAAAATAATGTGCAAGATACAAGTTTTTGAGATAAACAATCATCGGAGTTGCATTGAAATAATTAAAGTTAGGGTTTTAAATCATTTTCTCCTCAATTAGACAAATAAATGCTTATGTTGCAAACAAAGATTCAAAGTTCATCAATGCCAATCCACCCATTTCAAGAACAAGTATCAGAATTTTCTTTTCATATCTTGGTAGCAAAGCAAAGGAGGACAGCAAGCGAACCCACTTCACATTATTCATCTTTTTTTACCATTGCCCCAAAGAATAGTTAGCAAGCTGGCAACCCAAGTTGAAATTCATCAATTTCAGATGCTTGAGGATCTCAACTCAGCAGCAGAATCAAATGTTTTGAAAGGCAAAGCATAGAGGTGAGGTGTTTTTATTCGCGCTATGCTAGGCGTAAGCTTTGAAGCGTTGAGGCATAAGTCTTTTCAAGATTAATTTATTTTAATAAAAAAATTTATAAATAATACAATACACAATTAAATTGTACTACCAATAATGTATTAAGTATAATCAAATATGAGTACTAATGGTCTCATTGATGCATAATAATCAATCCCTAAATCTAAAATATTTATTCAACATCAAAAAAAAAACACACAAAAAATCATGATTTAAAATAATAAAAAAAGGCAAGCAGAATGTGTGCTTCTTTAAGTAATCCCAGTGCTGAACGTGCAACTTGCTAAATAGACGAACACCTCAGGCAATTTTCTTCCGCCTCGCTCCGATGCACACTTTGACGTGCGCTTAGACATGCCTTTGAAAACACTGAGCAGAATCATATTTTGTTCAAAACATTTAGAGGATAACGAAAGTGGGCAATCTAATACAAAGCCAGAATTTGAACGAAATTGGGCAATCTAATACAAAGCCAGAATTTGAATGAAATTGGGCAATCTAATACAAAGCCAGAATTTGAAAGCCAATCCAATAAACCCAACAAAAGAATAAAAATTAGAAAACCATAACATGAAACTCATCACTCTCTCTCTCTCACTCACTCACTCTGAGAGGTAAACTTAGAATACCCACATTGAGTTGCCCAGCATACTACATTAAACTTAGAATACCCACATTGAGTTTTCTAGCATAAGCATCTTATCTCAAGCGAATTCAGCTTTTGGCACTTTTGCAAAGGGTACTTGAGAATTAAAAAGGTAAATAATAAGTATTAAAAAAAAACATTTAAAAAAAACATTAATATAAACTCCAAAAGCATATCATTGTATAAAATCAACTCAAAGATACATGACAGAGAATTGGTCAGATTTGAGACCTCCAAAAGTTTTCATCCTACAAACTAATTCTAAATAAATTGATGAGACAAAGTTTTAATAAATCTTACCCTCCATCTGAATGCTCCAAAAAAAATCCGGTCAAATGCATGGCAAAGTTCCAGGATACTAAAATACAAACTCATGGTTACAAGCTCAAGGATGTTGCAGGCGAAAAGATTTCCTTTAATAACTTTGTAGACAGAACAAAACAATGTCCAAAAGACTATAAAGATCAAATTCTGCCAAAATCTCATAAAACAGGGTGTCTTGCCAAAATCTCAAATTCTAAGGGGCAAGCCTATCTGGATCGCGAGGGAACAGAGAAGTTTTGCGAATGTTGTTCAAACCACAGAAAAGCATGACGACACGCTCCAGCCCACCCCGAACCCACCATGCGGAGGTGCACCGTATCTGTAGGAGCCATCACAAGGGTTAACAAGAGCACAAGCAGAAGAAACTTATGATAAACAATATTAAGCTCACTAACACATCAATGGCTCCAAGTCCTTTGGAATGAGCCCTGGGAGAAAGAAGTAAAGCTCTCAATGACTCAAGCTCTTGGCCATAAGCCTTGCAGAAATTTTCTTCTTTTCCAGTATGCCCATTATCAACTTCAAATCCACCACCTTGGTCACATATGCCCGGAAGGTAGCCAAGGTCAAAATCAAGAATGCAATTACCCAACGGAATAGGAAAAACAGTGTGGACACAATCATAATCCTGGACCCTAAAATGAACGTGAGAACAACCATGACTAAGCACCATTCCATCATTGGCAATCATGAAATCGAACTGATGAGTATGATCAATAGGCCTACCTAACCACTTGAATTGTGCCAAACCAATGAAATTTCGTGAACTACCAGAATCAAGGAAATGACAACTGAACAATTCTTGATAAAGCCTTGTATCACCATAGCCTTGAGCAATTTTAGAGTTGGCGCAGAGGCTTCTTGAACAGAAACGAAACGAAGCAAGTACAAGTCCTGGCGAAGCTCTGTCTTCAACCCTCCAATGAAGTAACTCGTAAGAAACTCACCACCACCTTTGTCTTGCATGCCCATATGGTAGCCAAGATCAAGATCAAGAAGTGCAGCACCGCCGTTGCATACCCAACATGAGTGTGACATTTCAGCAAACAAGTGGAGAGCATGTGGTGATCTGCCAGATGTATCAACCCCAAAACCTAATTGCTTCCAAGCTTCTTGATCAAGATTCTTCAAAGACAAAAACCGAGTAATCTTCTGAATTGAACCGATGGAAAAAGAAGACAAGTAAGCAGGCAAACCTTGCGTGGATGGTGATTCCAGAATCCGCGATGTTGCTTGCACCAACGGTTAAAAACCAAAAAATCCCACGTCAATTACAACAGAGGCATCCAATTGCTTGGCAACCTGGTGGTACAAAGCATCCAGAGGCTTGGTAATTGCCGATGGCATGAATGCACCATCAGAGACAAGAAGTGGATGAGTCTTCCTACTCATGCGATCAGGACTCTCGTGGTGGCATGAATGTACTGAAGAATGCAACCATTAAAGATGGAACTGTCATTTAAATCCATCAATTTTACTACAGCGTACTTGTTCAGATTGAGCCTTGGTGACAGTACCTTGATGAATTTCCTCGTGTGCTTTTACTACATTTGAGTTCTGGCTGTTATATTTATGTTTTACTACATTTGAGTTCTGGCTGTTATATTTATGTTTAAAGTAAGTGCAGTTCTGTTTTGTATCCATCATTCTGAAACATTAGCTTAAGTATGAGTTGGGCGGCATACATATTTTGTATTCTATTTTGTATTTTGATTTGTTGTAGGGTGGAGGGCTAACATTGCGAATGTATTAAAGTTCTTATTATATTTTAGAATGTGAAACTTGGAAACATAAGCTTATGTATGTCAACATCAAAATATACTTCTTTGTTATTATATTCCTGAATGCGGATGAAAGGTGAACTCAATATTTAATCAAAGGCATACTGGTATAGGCAAGATATATAATTGCCAAGACAGATGCGAACAAAAAAAGGTTCTAATAAAGCAATTCTAACATCTTCGAGGGCTCTTTTGGTACGTCGGATTGTGTTGTTTAATGTCGAATAGTACTAATCTGTTCCAAAGAGTACTGACTATTTATCCATAATATTATAAGACGCTTGGTCTTGTTCCAGATAACTAGTCTGACAAAGTTATACATTGTTTTTTTTTAAGTTACGATCATACTTTTTTTTCCTTTGATAATTTAAGTTGAAATTGAAATTCATATGACAAAAAAAATTTGTGAGATACAGTGATTACATAAATCCATTTGAGAAGAGCACACCAAAGATCTGAACCAATCGAACTGACACCCATTGGTGATGATACAAATTTTTTTTGGCAACATTCATATGACAACATTTTTTTTATCTTGTTTTGCCAACATCTAATATATTGCAACTAATTCAGAAAATGTATACAAAGTTGCATCCTTTACGCAAACTGATTCAACCCATTGGTGGTCTTGATCTCATATTCTCAATATATATGCATCTCAAACATCTTTAGAATCAGTATGTGATAGAAACCCTTCAACCTTAACCCAATGCCAAAGAATCATAACTGTTATTTTTTATTGAAACTGGATTTACAATTACATGCCCTACAATGAGTATAATCCCACTAATATAATCGCTTCCGAGTTAAGCAAATAACAACCGTTAACTAACAAAACAAATTGCCAGCTAACTAACCCATTGCCTAACAAAACTTGCCAGCTCAGCTAACATACAAAAAGACCATATTAACCCTGAGAATCCTATCAATTACCCTCCCCTTTAAAACAGAATCCTTGTCCTCAAGGATCAAAACTTCAGTGGATCAAAACTTCAGGAGCTGCAGCATTACCGCGCTTAACCATACAACGATCCAAAATAGCCATGGGATGATCTTGCAAAATTCCAGTATCGGTGATCATGGGCATACTTGGGGAAATAGTAACATCTGATCCCAAATGCTTCTTTAAACATGAAACATGAAAGACAGGATGCAATTTAGAGGAGGTAGGCAACTTCAAATGATAAGCAATAGTGCCCACCCGAGAAAGAACTTCAAATGGGCCATAAAATTTCGGTTGCAACTAATGGAAAGGATGTGAAGCCAAGGAAAGGTGCTGATAAGGTACCAAACGCAGATAAACCAAATCACGGACTTGAAACTCCCACTTAGTTCGATGCTTATCTGATTAAACCTTTATACGAGTTTGAGCAGCCAGCAAATTAGCCCGTAATAGGGAGAGTACTCAATCCCGAGCAACTAAACTACGGTCGACAAAATCCAATCGAGTGGTGTCTGCTTGCTTCATAGACCAGCACTGTTGGAGGAGGCTGACCATATACAACCTCAAATGGTGTCATTTTTGCCGAGACTTGGAAGGAAGTATTATAAATCCACTCAGTCCACGGAAGCCATTGAACCCACTGCTTTGGTTGTAAACCCGAAAAACACCGCAGATAAGTTTCCAAACATCTGTTAAGCACCTCAGTTTGAGGATGATAGCCAGAACTCATGCACAATCTAGAACCTTGTAAAAGAAAGAATTCCTCTCAAAACCCACTGATAAACACAGGATCACAGTCACTGATGATAGAACTAGGCATTCCATGCAGCTTAAACATATTATCAACAAAAACTTGAGCTACAACAGCAGCAGTATAAGGATGGTGCAAAGCAATGAAATGGGCATACTTGGATAAATGGTCGACCACAATAAAATAATTTTCTTACCCTTACAAGGAGGCAAACCAACTATAAAATCCATAGAAATGTCATACCACACCCTATTAGGAATTGGGAGAGGCTGAAGCAATCCAGCAGGAGACTCATAGTTCCTTGCTTTTCCTGCTTCCATTTAACGGCTAGTTAATTCTGGGTAACTCTTCTCCTCCCACGATCTCCTTCTTCAGATTATAAAACAGATTTCTTCACTGTTTGAAGAAATCATCAAACCTAACTTCTTCATATTCCTGAGTAACCCGAAATTTCTTTAAATTTCTTGAAAAGTTTCGAATATCTCCTCAATTCTGCCTGAATATTATTTTTATGCCTCTCCAAGAACTCGTGCTGGAAGCTCTTCTTCATTCCCTCCTCCTCTCACATCTTAGGCGAAGGTGTCGACAAACATGCTATTGAGATTAGAAGCAAGCTTCACCCATATTCTAAGAAGAATTTGGATGAAAATATCCTTCATTTGCTCGGAAATGCCCTTATTCTGGATCCTGTCTAGTTTGGGAAAGTCCTTGAGGAACTAATCACTCTAATTAAGAATCTGAGCAGATCATACCCTTCCAGTGAAGTGAGGAATAGCTCCGTGAAGTGGTCAAACTGGATTGACCAACTCTCTCCAAGGTATGAAAGTCACTGGAAGAAAGCTGGTATATTCGATTCTTTAATTTTGTCCAAACACTCAATTAATAGGGATGAGAACCTGCTAGTTGCTGCTTTGTGTTTCTGGAACTCTTCCACAAACACTTTCGACTTCCATGTTGGTCCTATGTCTCCAACCCCAATTTTTATTTATTTTACTGGAGGAACAACTTGATTGTATCTGAGTTCCTTATTTCTAACAATTGCCTGCTTTTTTCCTCGATTGAACAACTTGATTGTATCTGAGTTCCTTATTTCTAACAATTGCCTGCTTTTTTCCTCGATTGAACAACTTGATTGTATCTGAGTTCCTTATTTCTAACAATTGCATGCTTTTTTCTTCTTAAACCTCCGTATTCTTTGTGAGTTTCAGTTTTAAAATTCCTTCTATGATTATCCAAAAAGAGGAAATTGTAATTTCTTTCATTTCCTAAATTCTATATACAAGATATCCAAACACTGAAATTTGAAATTGACGTAATTTTAAATGTTGTAATTACAAATTCCGTCATTTACAAATTCTATGAAAATTAGAATTCCTGCATCCAAACGCACCATTATTCTTTCACAAATGCCGAATATGAAATACAGAAGCAGCAAGATGACTGATGAATAGGAAAGCTAATGGCATATACATGATGCAGAATTGGTAGACCTTAGTACTGGCCCTGGTTTTTCAGATTTAAGCATGTGTAGAGCGTAGAGCTTCCAATAAGTT